AAGGCACTTGACTGCTAACCAGAAGGCTGGCGGTTCAAACCCACCAGTCACTTCTTGGAAGGAAGTTTGGGCAATCTACTTCCATAGTGATCCCGCCTCGGAAACCCAAGGAGGGGTCGCTATGAGTCAGGTCTGACTCGATGGCACATAACAACACTGATACACCATGTGATCCTCAGCCTATATGACTATGAAACCAGAAGAACTAGATGGTGCCTGGCTACCACAGCCAACCACTCAAAAGGGGCATCTATTTAGGAGATCCTGGACAGAGTGGGAGAACCATGTGGAACAAAACTCAAAATCATTAAAAAAGCGGAGGGGGGGACAGGTCTGCTGGTCTGATAGAGCCTGATGGAAACACTGAGACTATGGCCCTTAGCTGCCCTTCAGGTCTGGAACTGAACCCACTCCTGTGGCTTCCAGCCAAACAAGACAGGCATATGAACTGAACATTCACATTAGGTAGATACACTCCTTAGAGAGATCAATCATGGGAGAATAGGTCTTTGTATGCACAGGGAGACAGATTGGGGGGCAGGAGTGCACGGGAGGGAAGGACACAGGAAAGAGGTAACTAACTATGGGGAGGAAGTGAGAGGGAAACTGTTGCATTGTGGGAAATTGCAGTCAATGTCATGAGACAAAGTGTTAAGTGAGCGTTGTATAGAAAGTGAATTTGCTCTGTAAACTTTCACCCAAATCACAATTAAAAAAAAAAAAAAACAACTAAGGCCTTCATATTCAATTGAACAGATAGATTTATGCACAAGTCAACAGCCCTCCCTTCTACCATTCCCATAAAGACCTAGGTTGATCACTGCAATCAACATCCCTAGAGACTATTATCAGTGGAGTACCCAGTTCTAAATGTCACGTACTCTACTCACAGTCTCCCTGAGATCTGCAGGTATTTTGTCATCTTTGTTATTTTCATTCACTGCTGTCCAATCAGGCCGTCATGGTGAGCCCATGCACAACAAAATACTTTCTGGTCTTGTGCCATATCCCTATGATTAGTTGCAAATCAGACCATTGTGATTCATAAGGTTTTCATTCAGATTTTCAGAAGCAGATCCATATAGAATGTATTACTCTGCTTTTAAGTTTTGCCACCCTCACTTCTAAGAACAGTGTGGTTATATTTCTTCTAAGATGGATTTGTTATTCTTCTGACATTTTATAGTATATTCAATATTTTTTGCCAGCATCCTATTGTAAAATACTGCACACTCCAATCTCCATATTCCTAAAAGCTGGCCCACACACTCGTGTGGCTGGTGACAGCTTCCCAGTCCACAGCAATCTTTTCAGATAAATTTGACTGCTATAGGATGGTGAGCAGGGTCCTGGGCCCAGTCTTCGGCATGCATGTCAAATGAAAGTTCTCTGAAACTCCTTCCCTACTCTTCCCAACTGGACAACTGGCCTGAACTTTCCCAGGCTATTCAGGGAGAAAGCAGAAGGCACCACAGGCATGGAAGGCATTGTTCCATGGCATTTGGTGTGCCCAAGGTATCCTGAAACAGTATTAAGTGACTTCCACTATAGCCCAAAGTATAACCAAATGTATAAGGAAAGGACAGTCACAAAAACAAAACCCTAGAACAAGCTAATATTTGAGGTCTAGTTTGTGTTGAAGAAGCTCTGGTAGCATAGTGCCTAAGGCACTTGACTGCTAACCAGAAGGCTGGCAGTTCAAACCCACCAGCCACTCCTCAGAAGGAAGATGGGGCAATCTACTTCTGTAGTGATCCTGCCTCGGAAACCCAAGGAGGGGTCGCTATGAGTCAGGTCCGACTCGATGGCACATAACAACAACAACAACAACAGTTTGTGTTGAATACAAACTTGCAAGATGGCAAATTTATATCCAGATCACAATTATGTGGTATAAATATTATACAATGGGAATTGGTCATAAGTTTTCTGCATCTGGATTTTCAAAAATATATCCTTTTCTGGATGTGTTGGTAGGATACTGCCAACAATCTTCTGATGTGAAGAATTATCCTTCTAACAGTATATCCCTCTGGATGTGAGATACAACTATTCTTTCTTTTATGACTGTAAGATGATAACAGATAGCCATATTTATTTTGCCAAGTACACTGAAAACCCTAGGTTGGATCTACCCTTTTAATTTTTTAATATCACTGGCCTCTGACCTTCAAAAGCTTGGAGACCACTGAAATACAGGACTGGTTGTACAAATTCCCATTCCCGGTGCCTCTATAAACTACCCATATTTGTCATTACCAAAAAAAAAAGCATACAGCACATTAATTATCTTTTATTTTTAAAAGAACACATATTCCTTTATAATTTTCTTTCTGAGTTTAATAAAAATAACTTAAAGAAATACACCACACAGAAATGTTACAAAAATATGAAAAGATTATAGGCAGATGATAGAAATGGGAATTCTTTTGAAAAAAGACATGATAAGGAAGAAAGTTTTCTATACTATTTATGCATTAATTATAAACCATAGCAGTAAACGCTTTCCGAATATTGGCAAGAAAGGCTGAAAAATTGTTGGTCTTCCTTAGATTCTCTTGAAATTCTGCCAGGCATTCAAGATGGGGAGAACTATCCGACACTAGAAGAAATAATGAAGACAATATGAATAAGATTTTTTTGTAGGAGAGAAGTATTTCTAGTTTAGATGTTCTCATCTGATTTGAACTTCAATTCCATCTTCCTGAAATGGTTTGAGCATAAAATGGTAAAATCACATAAAATGATTTTCACATATTATCTATCCTTAGACCTGTCTTTCCTTTAATCTCTAGGTATTTAAATCTTTAAGTCCTACAATCTTTCTTTAGGTTTAACATTCAAGGGAATAAAGAGCTTATTAATATAATAAGCCATTAGTCAAAGAAATGCATCTTAGACTTACATATTTTGTTTAAAATGTTTTAACTTTAAAAAAAAAAAAATTAAAAAAAACTGCTAAACCAGTTTTCTCTGTAAAACTTTAAACTTACTTTCAGTGTCTTGCTACTAGATTAAAAAAAAAAAAAGAACTTTCAATGCTAACCCTTAATAACTTACAATTATGTAAAGAAATATCTAAAATTTTACAAGTGAAATGGATGTCATTAGAAAATGTGGTTGCTACTTTTTTTTTTTTTTTGGTATTGCAGGAAGGGTATTTGTAAGGTCTACTAATCAAATGGGACCAGCTGGTGCAAATTGGGAACAAGCCCTCAGTGACAGTTGTTGTTGTTGTTATGTGCCGTCAAGTCGGACCTGACTCATAGTGACCCCTCCTTGGGTTTCCCAGGCAGTATCACTACGGAAGCAAATTGCCCCATCTTCCTTCCGAGGAGTGGCTGGTAGGTTTGAACCGCCAGCCTTCTGGTTAGCAGTCAAGTGCCTTAGGCACTATGCTGCCATAGCTCCCATAAATACCCTTCCTGCAATACCAAAAGGAAAAAGAATGACCTGGCTTTCTTTGCCATCAATCTTGTCCTTTGGCTAAGGGTAAGAAAGACAACAACCATCGATTTCCAGCTCATTGGTAGAGATTGCTTAGAAAGCCAGGCCCATGACAATAGCAGAGAAAGATTAGCAAAGAGAATTTGGTTCACAATATTTACTGGAGATTTCATCTTTATACATTCTTAAATACTATAAAACTATGTAGCAGTAAAGATATCCAATTTGGAAAAAATTGAAAAGCTAAGAACAAAGATAGATTTTTGGGTCTGCGTTTCAAAATCTAGGAGCTCTGGTGGTGTAGTGCCTAAGGCATCTTACTGCTAACCAGAAGGCTGGCGGTTCAAACCCACCAGCCACTCCTCCTCAGAAGGAAGGTTGGTCAATATACTCCTGTAGTGATACCGCCTCAGAAACCAAAAGAGAGTCACTATGAGTCAAAATCAATTCGATGGCAGTGAGTCTAGTATTCATTAGCTTGGAAAAAATTTACATACAAAGAAAGAAAGAAATATTTGTATGTGAATTAAATCTGAAAATATAAATTCCATAAAAGAGAAATTGAGTCACCAGGTTACATCAGGGATCTAACTCAGCAGTTTACCTGAGTGTCTGTCTGCTAAGATGATCACACAGATGTAAGGAACAGAGAACAGTTTTACTGAATTCCTATAAATTAAGGATTAGGATTATTTGTATAGGCGCAGCTGTTAGCTGCTATGGAGTCAGTTCTGACTCATGGCAACCCCATGTGGGCAGGGTAGAATTGCTCCATAGAGTTTTCAAGGATATGACCTTTTGCAAGCAAGTCACCAGGCCAGTCTCCCAAGGCACCTCTGGGTGGGTTTGAACCACCAACCTTTCATCTAGCAGTTGAGCGCTTATCATTTATACCACCCAAGGCCTCCTAGAAGGACACTAGAAAAATAAAACAAAAAGATAAATATATTTCCATTCTCTTCTTGTTCATACTATTAGCAATTATTTATGTATTCCCCATAATGCAAAGGTCATTCCGCATGCTGCAGAATCAGTAACTAAGTTAATTATGAATGTTTGAGATTTTCAGGATGGGATAATTTCTTTAGAATTTATCATGGGGAAAATAAGTTATCACCTTCTGATAATTACCACATTCTGGCAATTTCACAATTCAGCTATTTGAATAAATTATATATTCACATTTGTTGTTGTTGTTATGTGCCGTCGAGTTGGCCCCAACGCACAGCAACCCCTCCTTGGGTTTCTGAGGCAGTATCACTATAGAAGTAGATTGCCCAACCTTCCTTCCGAGGAGTGGCAGGTGGGTTTGAACTACCAGCCTTCTGGTTAGCAGTTAAGTGCCTTAGGTACTACGCCACCAGAGCTCCTATATATTCACGTTTAGGCAGCCATATTCTTTATTCTGTACTTTTATGTTCTTTAGAAGGACAATTCATAATTGTATACAAAATGCAGTGATCTCTGATGTTCTTGCACACTTTTTAGTCACTGTGGCACTGTGCTATCCTAAAGAAAAACTAGTCACAGGGTTTTGAAGACAATATCCCAAAAAGTCAGAGTAGAAATGGAAACAAGAGCTTGTGCAAATATTATTCTCCTTCATCTTCTCATTCAAACTACATTTTGGGATGCCAATCCTAAATACCAGTTAAAAGATATGAAAATACCTTCATAGTCCCTTTCTTCATTTAGGTGCAAGGAAAACATAAATGGGCTCTCAGGATGCTTAGGATCAATATTAGTGAATATAAACTGCAACTTATCACCTGAAAAAAAAAAAAGATTGCATTATTATAGTTGACATTCAACTTCAAATTGAAATAATTGCCAGCATACCAGATTTTTTAAACTGTTAATAGTAGGGGGAAGGATGAGTGCCGAGGAAAAAAGATTTCATAGGATATCCAGTTAGGCCAAATGAGGGACCCATTTTGCCTTTTCTTTTCTTAAAATATTATTTCCTGACTTTGATGGCTTTGACAAAGTTTTATTTCAAAGTGAAAAATGATCTGAAAGCATTAAAACTGATGAACAACAACATTAAACACAAAAGCAGTTTAAGATGGCTCTGGATATATAAATTAATTCAACAAATCTAAAGTTCAAAGTTGGACTTTATATCCTCCTCTAATCAAAGGTTAAAAGCTCATTCCAAGTGATAAGAAAAACACCAGGAGCAGTAGATGTAGGGATAAAAAATCCAAGCAAGCAAAGAATGAAATATAATTGGTAAGCAAGTAGGGACAAATGGTTTCCTTTCATTTAGTAATCAAAGAAATGCATAATGGGATTGTAAAATGGTACAACCACTGTGGTAAACAGGACGGCACTTCCTTTAAGTTAAAATAGAGATACCAAATGATCCAGCAATCCCACTACTAGGTATATATCTTAGAGAAATAAGAGTCACAACACAAGTAGATATAGGCACATCCAAGTTCATCACAGCATTATTGACAATAGATAAAAGACGGAAATAATCAAAGTGCCTATCAACAGATGAATGGATAAACAAACTATGGTACATACACACTATGTAATACCATGTAGCATTAAAGGATGATGAATCTGCAAAACATCTCACAACTTGGATGGACCTGGAGGACATTACACTGAATGGAATAAGTCAATCACAAAAGGACAAGTATTGTATGAGATCATCATTATTAAAAAAAAAAAAAATCAAGGAATGATTTACACACAGAGAAAACATTCTTTGATGGTTATCAAGGATTAGAGGGGAAGAGAAGGAAAATCACTCAGTAGACAATGGACACATATTAACTTGGTTTAATTATTAAATTATTAGTACACAGTAAGAGGAGGTCAGGACAAAATGACCAAGACGAAGGAAGACACAGGGAGGCAACCAATAGTAAAAGGAAACAATGGTAAATACTATTACATACAGAACCCTGCAATAAAAGTAATAACAAACAATAATTTACAAATAGATACATAGGTAGATATATAAGTTAACAGGTGTGGGATGGCCCATTAGCATATTAAGTCTGGCAGAGGATATTTCTTTTTTTTTTTCCC